GTAACTAGTGTCAGAGAGAAATTTATGCTCAGAGGAAGCAGGCCTGGTGGACATCTACTGTTTCTGCCCAAGCATATCCCACCCACCACCCTGCCTCAGCGTTCCTTTGGGGATCCAGCCCTGCCCACTTCCTGTGTCTTGTCAGAGCCATGCCCATGATCCCTCACTCTCCAGGTGGGCCTGGGATTCACTGCTGGCCAACAGGCCAATAAGAATATCATGGCCCTCTGAACAGTGATTGGGCATGTGGCCCAAGGCAGAGCCAGGAAGGCTCAGTTCTGGGACTTTGTGAAAAGAGAAGCTCTTTCCTTAGGGGTTGCTAAAGCATCAGATGACGCCTCGGGCTGTGGTGGCCATTATCATTACCACTATATGGGGAGTCTGTCTGGGAAGGAAGCTGATAAAGAACGCCAAGTACAGACATACTACATATACCCATACACACACAGACGCTTTTCACAGACTGTTTCAGCTCCTGAATCCAGCCATGCCTGAAGAGATCTACTCTGTAGACTCTTCAGTTACATAAGTCAATAAATGATAATTTTTGCTCAAACCAAAAAAAAAAAAAAAAAAAAAAAAAAAAAAAAAAAAATGCGTGAAAGAGTTACACATACATGACTCCTAGCAGCTCATTGATCTACTGGTAATTTTATTTTTAACTGTTTGTTAGATTTTTACTTCAATGCTAGAAAACTTTCAAAAGAGAAAAAAATTGTTGTTCTTTTGTTGTTTCAGCCTGTCTAAATGAAATAAGCATGCTTGGTGACTGCTCAGTCATTCATTCATTCACTCATTCATTCAGCAACCATGTATTGAGCCCAGATTTTAAAAACCACAGAGGGGTGCCAGGAGCCATAGACACAAACATTAGTAGCACATGGACTGTGTTCTCAGATGGCATCTCCATAGTCACGGTGAGGAAGATGCAGATTCCAGCACCAGCTCTAATCAGCACATGGGCAGTTCACTAGCATCTCTGTCAGTTTTCCTTATCTGCAAGATGGCCATATCAAGCCTTCTTTAAGGCTCATGGAGAAAGTTAAGGGAGTCATTTATGTGCCACATCCAGCACAAAGCTGTCACTCACTACAGGGCAGATACTCTCGGTGCAGCTCACATCCTGGCAGAGAAGACCTGGATAAGTATTACGGCCCGATGGGGAAGGGCTCTGGGAACAGGAAAAGTCAATTCGGTGGAAGAAGATTCACAAAGTGCTTGTCATGGAGTGGACCTTCAAGGATGGAGGAGTTTTCCCATCAAAAGAGGCATTTTAGCAAAGACAACATTGCTAAGGCCACATTGTGCTCAGCATATCAGGGAATTGAGAGAATTTGGCCATGGCGGAATCAGGGAGCTGGATTCATAGTGCGGGGTCAGCGTGGGCCTCAGCACAGGCAGGGGGCAGGTTGTGTAGGGTATGAACTTCAGAGAGGCGAGGAAAAAGAGAAGCAGGATTTGGACTGAGGGGTTTGGTAACCAGCTCCAAGATGGTGCCCAGTATCCTCATCTCCTGGCCTGTGTCCTGTCCCCTCCTTCAATGAGCAAGGCTGATCTGGGTAAGCCAAGAAGATAGTATGGAATGATAAAGTGTGACTTGAGCGTGGGTCATAATAGACACTGTGGCTTCTACCTTGGTCTCCCTTGGATCACTTGCTCCATGGGAAGCCAGCTGCCACTTTGGACAGCCAAATAGCCCTACAGGAAGGACCCTGTGTTGAGCAACTGAGCCTCCTGCCAGCAGCCAGCCATGTGGCTGCACCAAACTGATGGGTAGTAGTTTTCAGGAGCTGCTATAAAAAAGTACCACCAAATGGGTGGTTTAAAACATAGAAATTTACTACCTCATAGTTCTGGAGGCTAAAAGTCCAATATCAAGGTGTTAGCAGGGCCATGCTCCTCCTGAGACCTGTAGGGGAGAATCCTTCCTTGACTCCGCTAGCTTCTGATGTTTCTCAGTAATCCTTGGTGTTCCTTGGCTCATGGATGCATCCCTCCACTATGCCTCTGTTGTCACATAGCTGTCTTCTCCCTGTGTGTCTAGATCTTCTCCTTTTCTTATAAGGACACGGGTCACACTGGATTAAGGGGCCACCCTATTTAAGTGTGATCTCATCTTAATCACATCTACAAAGACCCTATTTCCAAATAAGATCACATTATGACCTATGGGGGTTAAGACTTCAACGCATCTTTTTGGGGAACACAGTTGTTGATAACATTCTCCACCTCCAGTGAAGCCTTCAGCTGACCACAGCTCCAGTTCACATCTTGACTGCAGCCTCATGAGACCTTGAGCTACAACAACCCAGCTAAGCCACTCCCAGATTCCTGACTCATGGAAACTTCATGAGTTAATCATGTTCACGATTGCTTTAAGCCACTAAGATTTGTTATGTGGGAATAGGCAATCAACACAAGGAGGAAGACATGGCAGTAAAAGACCAAAGGCCTCCACAGCAATCCTACTCAACAGATCTTCATGTCATATCAGCATTTATTTTAAATCAGCCTTTTTATGCAACACTTCATACTGCTAAAACTTTTTTCAAAAAGTTTTGCCCTATGTACATTCACTTTGTTGAGAAACCATTTGTTCATCTAGTGGGTAATTGGGTGTTTGAGCAGTTCTGAGTTTCACTGGGAATCCATGCAGCTGACTCAGATTTTCCCTCTCTGGGCAGAGCTCCGGTGCCAGGCTGGCTGGCTGGTCTGGGGTCAGGTGCATACTCCCGGTTCAATGCGTGATGGCCAGGGGATGGGGCCACAGGTACAGAGCAGGGCCACCTATGGGTAAGGGGTGGTCCGGGTGGGTTTCCCTCAGCAGGGCCATGGGCAGGCTGTCTCTCCCTGCAGGAGGGGGCGGTGGGCACCAGCATTGACAGTCTGTGATCAGGCTGTGGATTTTGCCTTCTCTAGGAACAGGCCTTTTTAAGTCCAGTGTGAACACAGCTCATTGTGCCTCTCACTTCCTTTGTGAGGAAAGCCACAGACAGGCACAGCTGCACCCGCATGAGAAACCACATGGACCAACCGACTTCCCCCAAGTCTGATTTGACCAAAAATACATTTGATTTCCTGCTTCTATGTTATGGTCAAGATTACCATTTGTTTCCTTGAATTTCAGGATTACAGTTGACAAAAGCATGTCACAACCATTAGTCATAGGTGTTTTGTTTTTTTTTTCCTGAAAATGATTCATTTTACTCATTTTCCCATCTTCCTCTTTGTTCTGCCAGCTGGCAGCTACTTCTTTTTATTATAAAAATAATTTTGTGTTACCCCCATCATTTATATCTTCCCTCATTTCTACTTCATAAACAATTGGTTCTAACTTGTCAATAGAAAGTAACTCAGGGAAAGTTCTAGGTGCTCTGTTCAGAAGGGCAGAATGTGTATCCAGCAGGTGCTTCATAAGTGCTTACTGGGTGGAGTAGTTCCACCAAGTCTGTATTTAGGTCTACTGTCTCTGTACGTCTCTTTCTCAGGCTGACTTGAAAACTCTTGGCATGAAGCAACAATATGCATTTTTAAGATGATTTCTATTTCCCTGGTGTTTGGGGCAGGGAGCTAAGTGGGTGGCAGACAGCCACATCCGGAGAGACAAGCTCACTCCTCCTGGCAGGTCCTGCACTGGGGACGGCAGGCAGGCTCTGCCATTGGTGGGAGGGGTCCTGCTCGCATTCCAGGACTTCCCAGGCCTTCCTCAGGAATTCTGAGTTCTTCCTGCTTATTCCCTAAAGATGTGACTCACTCCAAACCTTTGCGAGTGAGCAGTGAATCAGCAGGGGTTTTGCTTTTTTGGATCATTCCCACATGGATTATTCAACGCACATTATATGAATGAGAAGACCACGGCGTGACAGGGTTTAAATAAGTTGCCCAAGGTCTATGCAGTGAAGAGTAAGCCGTGAGGCCAAGGATGTGAGCCTGGACAGTCTTGAGACCAGGGTCTGTACTCTTTATTCTGCCTAAAAGCCAGAAAAGGGGTCTAGAAGGCTATGCTGCAAGGGAATGGGGAAGGAATCCCATTTTTTACTTTGTATAATTATATATATGCACACACTGCTTTAAAAAACCTAATTAAAAAAAACTAAACAGCCACACCATGGAAGAGGCAAATCACAGAAGGCTAATTATCCATCTTCTTAAAAATTATTCATTTTCCTACTTAAAAATTATCTGAGTTACTAGGCATTGAGTCAAAATGACTTTGAAATGTTGGCTACAAATAATACAGAAATTAGTGGCCTAAAAATGTCTTCCCTCACTGATTACATTGGTTCTGCATCTGGAACTCCTATTGTGGGAGGACCTTGCTCTGCACCGGGTGGGCTTTCCAAAAACACCTGTTGTATGATCAGATTAATGAATGACTCCAGAGGGCCAACCTCCATGGCAGCTCTTGCAACTTTTCTTCAAGAGGCGTGATGCCTCTCTCAAAGGGTAGGCCCTCTGGGGACTGTTCATGGAATCATGCCTGCATCGTTCCATCCTGCGCAGTTGGGCAACTGAAAGGCTCTTGCCCAAAGTTAGCATGATTTATTTAGGTCCCTGGAATCCCTGGATGAGACATGTTGTGCAGAAAGAATCCTCTTACTCATACTTTCCCTCTGCTGCCCCTCTCTTCAGCACTTGTTTCCAGCCTCTCTGTCTTTCTCTCTGAGGCACTGCACTCTTTTCCAGTTATTATGAGCCCTGCCTGACAGATTCCATTTACTGATGGAAAGGCATATGGGAGAGCAACTTCCCTTCTATTTTTAAAAGCTGCTTCAAGATACACATTTCTGATGTTGCTGGTGGCTCTGGCATTACCATTTCATCTGGATAGAATTCTGTTCATCCAGAATGGAAAAGGACCCACGCAGCCATTTCTAAAACAGGTTTTGCTCTGAGAGTTTGTTTCTTACGTTAGAAGGTGAGGCTTGTGAGATACTTGTATGTCCTGGGTCTCACTTCATGAACAATAAGAACAAGGAAAACACACACAAAACCCACTGTTTTGTGGATGTGTAAAATATAAACTGGCATTTTTATTTTAGCTCTTAAAACCAATTGTATAATGAGAGGTTTGCTGGAGGAAGATACGGCTTGAAAAAGAGAAACGGGAGCAGGGAATACCAGAAAAGACTCGATAATCCACGTCAAAGAGGAAAAGACAATGGGGGAAGGTGCCTCTCCTACCTCATCCCACAGCTCCCACAACGGGCTGTGGGGCAGAGAGGTGGTCCCAGTGCTTGTGAGCTGTGGTCTGGGCAAGTGCAGGGCTGCCCACCCCACGCTGCCCTAGTCCCTCTCATACAGCCGCCCGTAGAGAGCTGCCGTCACTAGGCCAGAGGACAGTCCGCTCTTGCTCAGGAAGGAGTAGTCATTCTCCCAGCCAAGCTGATCAGGGGTTTCCAGGGACATCCCTGAGGTAAGAAGCAGAGGAAAGATATAGGAAGTACTGAAGTTCCCCCATAGGTGGAAGTCAAATATCCCTGTGGCCTCTGTGATCTCCTGCCCACAGGTGTTAAAGCCAAGACCCCCACACTTGACCAGGGCACAAACTTGAACATAGTAAGTGCCGTGCACAGTGTGAAGACCGTCAAAGACCCCCAGGGCATACAGCTCTTTGGACAAAGTGGGCCGCTGGTAAAGCAAGTAACAGCAGAGGCCGTTTGCACAGACGCGGAGGTAGCCTTCCTTTCCCCACACAGGGACCAGGGTGAAATTGTCATACATCATCTCCGAATGAAACAGAGGAGGAGTGTTCATGTTCCACTTGGTGGCTCCATCACAATGGACTTCCTGAGCATCCTTTTCACAGTATGGATCACCTGCCAAGATTTCTAAAAACTTACTACGAGATGGGTTCGTTTTACCTGTGGCATTCTCTGGACCAATGAGACCCAGTGGATTTCTGGCTACCTGTGCAATTATAAGATGACCAGTGGCGTTTTCCATGTCATGGTGCCAAAAGGACTTCCGAGGGCTGTGTATGCCACTTCCGGTCATCCCCAGAGATGGGTGGTGGATGTTGGCAGCCAGCAGGTTGATACCAAAGGCAATGGCAAAAGCTCTCTGAATCTGAATGGCTGCCAAGAGTGGGAGCTGGTTCATCCAGGCAGTAGGATATACGACGTGCTTCACCTCAGAGTCTCTGAGGAGTCTAATGGCAGGGTCAAAAAACAATATATCAAAGCAGGTGAAGATGCCAAATTTGCCAGCAAAAGGGGTATCAAAGATGATGTGATCCACTTTGAGAGGGGTATCAAAAGCTGCCTCAAAGTAGAGGTTGTGTTTGCGATAGCGGTCAACAAGGGTTCCGTTGTTGCTGAACACGACATTTGTGTTAAACTGGTATCTTCCATCATGTGGGCACCCCAGGTCATTGTTATGGCAAGGCTGCTTGGTCCCAAGATTGGCCACCAGGAACATATTGCCCTTGATGGCCATGCAACTCAGGCGCTGGAGGACCTAAAGGAAAAAAAAGGCATAAGTAAATGAATTTTTAAAATCCTGCCATTTGCCTTATAATTTTAAAATAGAAAAGTACCTGTATTGTGTCTATAATATGTAAACAGCTATCATAAATCAGTAAAGAAAAAACACTACTGGAAGAGTGCACAGAATATGAACAGGTGATTCACAGCACAAATACAAATGGCCAATGGACATCTGAGAAGATACTCAACCTCATTAGTAATGAGGAAACACAAATGAAAATAATGAGATCTCATTCTGCACCTTCGTAAGATTGGCAAAAATTCAAGATATTATTCCATCTTGCATTGACCAAAGGTGGGGAAACAGGCACTCAAGACTATCACAAGGGATGTAAAATGAAATGAAGGTCTTTCAAAAGGGAAATTTGGTAGTCTTTAAAATAATTCAAAATGTGCATATCCTTTCGCTGAGAAATTCCATTTCTAGGAATCTTACCTTACAGAAAAACTTGGACATATTTATGAAGATACATGTACAAGGATATTGACTGAAACGTTATAATAGCAAGGGTTTTACAAAAGCATACAGCATGCTAACAAAGAGGATGTCAATAACTATGAAATGAATAGAAAAGAATATAGTTGGATGCATATCAAAGTGTTGATGGCAGTTTCTCTAGGAAGAGAAGGAGGGTAATTGGTGGGGTGTGTGAAGATGGGACTTTATTTTATTTTTTTACTTCTGATTCGTTTGTTTTCTAAGTATATATTCGTGTATGTCCTGTGTAATTAATAAATAGAACGATCCAGAGATGAGTAAATGCCCCATAATACCAGACACTCTTTAACTGATGGAATATGTGGCACAGGGAGTTTGGGGAGCTCAGATTTTATTTTTAGGAACCTAGGGTCTCCTTTCGGTCTCATTTAACCTGTCTTGGCTGTTGGCCCTTGGCTTGGTTCATCTCTGCATGCCTTCAGTCTACGGAGGAGGAAGGCTGGGACCCTCCCTTACCTCTGTGTCATTGAATCGGTGGGGCTCCAGGCAAGGATTCCACCTGACCAACTGGGGAGACGGCATGAAATCCAAAAATGGGTAAACAGATGTTCTTGTAAAGTTGAATCCATGAATGCCATCTTCTGGAAACACTATAATCTGTACACCCTGTAGGTCAAACACATCAAAGTATGGTATATTATCTGATAACAGGAAACACCCCTTCTTTCACTTGTCCATTCTTTCATTCACTCGTCGGACAGCCATCAGGTAGTTGTACTGTGCCAGGAACCAGAGGTTCTAAGATGGTGGCTGGACTCTCATCAGGGATCTTGGTCTTGGGGAAACTGTCTCACTTGGCCTCATTGTCAGGTAACAAAGACAGATGGATTTAGAAACAACCATTAACCATACCTCATGTTAGGGAAGGAGGGAATGAGTGAGATTGGAGCAGAAAGCAGGAATTTGCCAAGCAGACAATCAGAGGTTTGGAGTTCCTGGTGGTGGCACAGTACAAAGGCCTTGAATACTGGGCTTGTTAACAGATGGGGTGTCTCCAATCCAGTGATTTCCACTCATTGTGCATCTAAATCAGACAGGGAGCTCCTGAAAAAACACTTGGTTTAGGGGTGATGCTGGGGCCCACTCCTAAAAAGTCTGCTTCACTGGGCTGGTGGGTAAAATTCAAGTGTGTTCATTTTAGAAATAAGGACTTTCTCTAACTGGAAGTTCTCCAAGTGGGAATTAGGAGGCCCTTTTCCGAATCCTAACCACTCCCCAGGCTTTGTCCCACACCTGGAGACAACCTAGGTTTCCTGACTGATAGCCTGGGGCTCCCTGTGATGTTCACATTAACCGAATGAAATCCAAACAAACGGGGCACCCTCAGCTCCCAGCATCAGGGCCTCATTCTCCTGCTGCTCTCCACTTACACGGCTTAAAATGCGAAGCCTGGGACATTGCTCCAGAGTGAAAGGTGGAGGAGGAAGGCAGAGAAGGTATGAGTAATCTAAAATAAGAGGCAATTTGAGTCACTTATTTCTGGAATGCACTGCAAACTCTTTATAATATTTTATTCTGGCTAAAAAAGCTTCGAAAGTGTAACTGTAGAAAACTTGGAGAACAGATAATATTAGTTTAGTTAATATCTTGGCTATTTTTATTTTGTCTGTGTGTGTGTATATAATTGCGATAATGATAAATACATGGTGTTTCGGGAGCACCTAGGTGATGCAGCTGGTAAAGCATCAGACTCATGATCTCAGCTCAGGGTCATGAGTTCAAGCCCCACGCTGGGCTCCGCTGAGCATGGAGCCTACTTTTAAAGAAAATTTTAAATAAATACATAGTTTTCCATCTTGACTTTCCTCACTACATACAGCATCAAGACTACCAAGATACTTTCAAAAATACCATTTGCAATGGCCACATTATATTTAAGAGAACACCATAATTCATCTTTTATCAGCGGACATCTGAATTGTTCCCAACTTTTGGTGACCATCTGCATACAGGGTGCTCAAAACACTTAATGAGTATTATACACAAGTGTTTAGGTGTCTGATGATTTCTTCAGAATGAAGTCTTGTAAGTGAAGATACGGGCTCACAGACAGGAAGAGTTTTCAGTTGTTTACATTGCCAAATAGCCCTCCAGAAAGATTATACCAATGTATGCTCCTCCTGGTAGAGTGTTAAGATTGGTCACCTTACAGCACACGGTAAAGCAAAATTATCACAAACTTGGAAATAAAGCAAGATGTTTGCCTTTCTAACATATACTAGGCTGCTATTTAAGAAGCTCACTCAAGGATTATTTAGTGAATGTACTATTGCTAGGCTTTGTTATTTAATATTAGATCACCCCAGACTGCAATTGTATTGCTCTATAGGACATTAGCCAGTTTTGTATACACGAAGAAATTCATTTCAACATTCATTTGACCGATACACACACTCATGTTCCTCCGATGCTCTTTTGAGCCAGGTTTACCATCTGACTGATTTCTTCATTAGATCAGTGAGTTAAATGACAGTTTTGGCACATGTTCGTTCTATATTTGTGTAAGAGGTTTTAAAATTTTTTTTACGTTTTTATTTATTTTTGAGAGAGAGAGGCACAGAGTGCAAGCGGGGGAGGGGCAGAGAGAGAGGGAGACACAGAATCTGAAGCAGGCTCCAGGCTTTGAGCTGTCAGCACAGAGCCCGACACAAGGCTCGAACCCAAAAATGGTGAGATCATGACCCGAGCCAAAGCTGGACGCCCAACCAGCTGAGCCACTCAGGCACCCCAGGAGTCATGTTTTAACTTTGTGAAAATTATACTTGGACAAATGTTTTCCTTTATTAAAAACAAAACTTTCCCCAAGAATGTTGAATGGTTTCCTATGGACAATACCATTTATGTTATGTATACATATTAGATTAATACTGAAGTTAAATTGCATTTCCTAAATACATATTTTCTAGGAATAAGAAGAGGAACCAACCTGAGCCAGGGTAGAACGCTGGATCTAATGTGACTATCAATCCATCTAGAAAGCAATTAGCATCCCTGATAAATGAGGAGTTTTCAGAGAGACTTCAATGAGGTCCAGAACTCCTGAGGAATTAAGGTTGCCAACCCAGTTGATGGACCAGCTAATATCTTTAAGTTGGAGTCCTTTTCTTCCCTATAAATATCTCTACCAAGAGAGAAATACTTCAGTTGGCTAGTTCGGGAACCCTTGCCTTCCAGCAAGTTTGATCTAAAATTCTGACACATGCTTGGCATCAATTTGTCATAGAAGTTGCTTGAACGCATAAAACCATGCAGGGAAGCCGAGAGATCTGTAAGCACTAAGAAATGATCAGATAAACAATCTGTTCTCTTGGACCACAAACAGAGAAGGAATGATGACTTGCAGGCAGCATGGGCTCAACAAAAACATGTTATAGGTTTCCTTTGGGGGCAGGTTATTGGAAGGCAGGGGAGTACCACCGTCACAGTCTCCGGAGTTCAGCATGGCCTCTTGCCAACCTCTTAGAATGGTCTTGTGGACAGGATGGAGAAGCGAGGGATGGCTCGTATTTCAGCACCATGCAAGCAAACACCTCTGTGCACAGAATGGTCTCGAGTGGATCTGTGTCATCAGGAGGTCTAAGGGCACAGCCTGGGATTTTTTTACACTGACTTCAGCGTAAACATAAATGAGGTGTGTATCAAATGTGTGAATGATGTGAAGGTAACTGATATGCAGGATGTCAGTAAAGATCCCCAAATAGCCGAACAGGCTGGAATGATGAGATGTAACCCCATAAATGTGAAGTCGTGTGTTCAGGTTAAAGAAGTTAACCTTGTAAGTACCGGGTGGCAAGAGTGGCATGTGTGTCTGTGTGTGGGAAGAAGACTTGGGAGTGTGAGTTGGCAGCAAATGCCTTATGAATCCACAGTGAGATATGGCTGCCAACAGCTTTCTGGGGACAAAGTCTCAAATGAGAACGGTGCTACATCTCCTCCACTCTGCCCTTGAATACGGAGACTTTCCTACGGCTCTGGGCACAGAGATCATCTGGGAAATCTTTGTAAAAGGGACATACAGACTGGAGAAGAGATGCTGGGTTGGGGGGTGGGGAGCAAGACGGCTGTCCTCCTGTGGAAGACAACCCGCCATGGTCAGTTCCTCGGTCTGTTCTGTTTAGCTAAGAGGACAGAACAGGTGGCAGTTGCCGGGAGGCAAACTGTTGTTCACTGAAAGGCAAACCTTGCCAGAAGCTCCCGCGCTCTCATCAGACAGTGTGTTCTGGGCCACAGAAGGTGTTCAAGGAGAGACTGGATGTGGGGCTTTGAATGAGAGAGGAGTATCACCCATCAGAAGAAGCTGGACAAGGTCTTAAACTCTCTTCCAATATTAGCCTTATATATGTGTATATTGTTTTAATTTTTTTAATGTTTATTTTTGAGAGAGACAGAGAGTGAGCAGGGGAGGGGCAGAGAGAGAGGGAGACACAGAGTCTGAAACAGGCTCCAGGCTCCAAGCTGTCAGCACAGAGCCCGATGCAGGGCTTGAACTCCCGAACCACGAGATCATGACCTGAGCTCAGATGCTTAACCTACTAAGCCACCCAGGCGCCCCTATATATATGTATATTTCTAAAAGGTAGCCTATAATTTTATATATGCATATATACACATACACATGTAATGAGGTAGAATTTTAAAATGCAGCAATAGCTAGTGGCCGTCCAGGCAATCCTGAGTACCCTGAACAGAGATAGGAACTATTTTGGAGCAGGACCTGCTGGCCCGAACTGTCCTGCCCTCCAGACTCACCGGCACAGGGAAGTTTTGCTCACGTGGAGTGTACCTCCTGTCAAGGCAGAGCAGGGCTTCCTCACATGACTGGGCTTGGTCACCACACACCAGGTGAAAGTCCAAATTTCCCTTTGGTTATGGGTTTCCCAACAGGGCATTTTGTTATGGTCACGTCTGGCACGGACACTGCCCCTCTGCCCCACCCTTCCTGGCAGAAGTGGGAAATGCAGGCCAAGCAGGAAGCCTTCACAAAGGCTGGCAAAGACCTCCCTCTGTCCACCTCCGTTCTGTCTGGACTGAGGTCTCAAACTGTTCATGGTCTGGAACAGAGACGAGAAATGAGCCCCAAATAGACTGAAGGTGGAAAACAGCAGTTCTGTAGATGCTTACTATTTTGAATGCCTCAGAGAGCAGGAGAGACCCTCATGCCTGGAAGTTTCTAGAATTTTCTGCACATCAGAATCCACTGGGGAGCCTTAGAACTCCCAGTGCTCAATCCACACCCCATCTGCCTCTGCGGGTATGGCATACAGGCACCCACTTAGTTTACGACTGGCTGAGCACTCCCTCTGCACGGCCAGTTTTGAGAACCAGGGACTGAGCTCCGGGCTCCTCAGACATGAGGGGAAAAGCAGCACCTGGGGATCTTGCTATGATGTTGATTGATTCAGCAGGTCCGGGCGGGCCCCAGATCCTGCATTTCTCACAGGCTCCAGAGGGCTGCTGATGCCACTGGTCCGTGGACCACTGAGCAGCGAGACCCCAGCCACCTGACTACTTCAGTTCCACTTTACCAGCTGGACTAATTTTCCAGAAGGGCTGCGGGAGCCATTGACGGAGAGCCAGAGAGCAATTCGCCCTGTTCTGCTAGACAAGCTGGGGGGGGGGGGGGGCGGGTTGTGGCGCGGGCTAACCCAGGAGCGTTTCTTGCCTTTTGGGCTGCGGTCATTACTTGCTGTTCATAGATGTCGAGGTTCTGGTTCATTAGGTCCAAGGCCTGCTTGCGGCCCACGAGTGCTAGAGGGCTGGGAGTGAAGATTGACTGGTGCTCGTACACAGCAGCCACGTAGTGTTCAGCCTCAGAGTGCTGGGCCACGCGTGGTTCCTCGGTGTGGACTCCCAGGGCAACCACGTAGCAGCCGAAGAGGAAAAGAGCAAGCTGACTGCCGGCTCCAGACATAATGCAGACCATAAATCTGGAACGTACGGAGGCAAGGGGAAAACAGCTGAATAAAGAATCCTGCCAAGAATGTAACTTTTGCAGCTGTGACTTATTAATCTCAGCAATTAAACCTACCCGCCGTGATACTGCAACTCAAAGATTTGTTTCATGTTCCTAATAAAAGGGTCTGTGTTTCTCTCCAAACACGTAGCAAGCTACGTTTAAAATGGCTCGCTGTGTTAGTCTGGTTTTAGAATGTTTCCAAAACAGACCCGATGTTTGCCATGATTGTCTTCCCAGCGTTCAGCAAGACGGCATTGTGTCGCTACTCGCCTTTCTAGCCACGTACGTACCTAAGTTTTAGGCAAGAATAACTACCATGATTATTTTATATAATTCGGTGGCATATTCCACATCCCACCACCTGCCCTCCACACGCACAAACGTGTCAACCATCCACGCCAGCTCTGATTGTTGTGATCCCGATAATACAGCTCGGCTTTCCTAGCTACAAAACTCTGATGGATTAAAATTCTCCCTGCATTTCTTTGCTCAGTAATGAATATAAAGGGTAAGTCCTTCTTAGCGCGACATTCTTTATTTGGTGCAGAGAAGCTGCTGACTTCTACTTACGTGCCAGTGTCTACTCTTGGTTATGGATAGGTAAAAAGAGGGCTCCCAATCAAAGCATTTTGTTTCTCCTCCTTGAATTTGGGAATCATCACCTTCTCAACCTCTGTCTCTGCGATTCCACCACTCGTGCTCAAAAGCATAATCGTTTGGAAATAAAATCCTTTTGCAGTGATAAAATGCAACCGTCTAGAAAATATACGAGGATTTTCTAGAAAACGTAAGAGGATTTTCTAGGACGTACACCCAGCTATGTAGGCCCTACCAAAAGCAATTAGAAGTAAATTATGTCACTTACACTGACACTTCTGTGTGCCTTTTTTTCCCAAGACTAGGAGTTTTTATTCCCAATAGTTATGTGTTACCGTGTTAGAGTGAATATTCCAATTCTTCCTTGAAAACCAGCCTGGCCTCCCAGCTGAAGCCCCTCGCCTGACACACAGATTTACCAGGGGGTGTGCCAAGGCCAGGCCACTTGCTCTGTGGAGATGCACTGGGGCTGACCAAGTGCCCAGGAATCCAGATTAAACATCGAGATAACAAAGACAAATCAAGGAATCCTACTGCTGCTTTTTAAAAAGACAATGACGCCCTGTCCAAGTCTGACTCATAACTCCTGTGTTTGCATTTTAAAACCAAACTTTCCAGGCTGCAAACTTCCTTTTATTTTTCTCTTAATAGTTCCAGAAACAAAAGTAACCATAAGTATTTTCAGCAACAGAACAAGGACTCGGGAGGCTCAGTCTGAATCCTTGCAAAACCAAACACTTGTCGGGCTGAGCAGGCCTCATCCCACGGCCTTGTCTCACACACTGTTACTTCTTGTCCCAGGGACTAAGTGCACCATCCAGATACCCAACCCCAGGACTTGTTGCCATTCATCTGGGACCCTGAATGATGTTCTGAGATTAGAACAAGGAGCCTTTGAGCAAGCAGTCATGAGATTTTGAGTAGAAACAAAAGTATAATTGATAAGGATTCTTATCTGAATTTTGCCTCTGAAGACGAGCACGGGATAATTTTAACGGTCAAAATCTAGTTTCCGCTCCCTCTGGTTTCAGAATGATGATAATGGGGAATGGTTTGGGGGAGAAACTTTCATCTTCAAAGACACATTCCCGGTATTTCTCAAGCAGTAGATGCTGGCCTCACTCAGAGGTGGGGAAACTGAGGCCGGGGGAGGGGAGAGTTGTGTGAACCCGTGCCCGGTGGAGCCAGCTCAGGAGTTCCTGGGGCCCAGCGAGGTGGTCACGGCATCCCCTTTCTCAATGAAGAGCTGTGTGTCACCCATTTACTTGGGGACAGAGGACATTAAGTGTCAGGACTTGCAAAATGGTAAAACAAGAAAACTATGGAACCAGCAAGATAGTACATTTCTTTCTATTTTGAGAAAGTAAAATGTAGATTATTTACAAAAGGTGCTTGGCAGGAGGGCTGTAAATGGCAATCACTTGTGTGTGAACAAAGGTGGGTGATAATAAGAGGTTAGGCAGATTTAACCAGGTATTCATGCTTGAAAGAAGCAAGCTTAATGAGGTAGGAGAGAATGAGTAATTATGATAAAAATAGGTACCACAGTTTGCCCGTCCCGATGTGTGGTGAAATAGCAGCCGGTTTAACCAAATTTGCAAATGCTGGCTTTCCCTCTTTATTTGGCACTACACAAATGTCTCAAGAAAACCAACAAGGCCCAAGATAGGGACTCTGGAGGGCACAGCGGGTAGGAGAGGGGGGCAGTTTTAATGGGGCAGGACAGCATCCAGATCTGGTTTCCGGTGGTTACCAGGTGCTGGTTCACCACAGAAAGCACAGGTGGGCTGGGGTGTTGGGGCTCCCTGGGAACAAGAAGCTTCCAGAAGTCCTGGGGCTCTTGGAAACCCAGCCATAGATGTAGTTCTAGAGCTGGCCAGGACCCGGACGATAAACAGCCGTGAGTACAGGCGTGTGCTCAGTCTGAAAAGGTACACACACACCCTCTTCCATCGGAGGGCATTTGACAGGCGAGCTAAAACTGCAGGAAGGCCTGACACGAAGGCCCCGTCTGGGTAACGGTGTGCCCCCACACCCTGCTTCGTCCACTCAGCTCACCACGACCCTCTGATGTGGGGGCTCGGGCTCACAGGGTGCCCTGAGTCTCACTGCCGGAAACAGCACAGTGGGGAGGGTGCTCCCTTCAGACATCCAAGAGACATCCGACTGAGAGCCAGACGCGGGTATAGGTGTCAGGGTACAGCCAAGAACAAGCCCGGCCCTTCCTCAAGCAGCCCCACTCAGGATGTATAGGGAGAGTGACCACAATCAAATAAACACTGAGGATGCCTTACGCAGTATGTGCAAAGGGAAAATAAAGACAGGGAAGGGGGCAGTGAGGGTCTGGCCTGGGTGAGGGACAATTTTAAATAGTATGGTCAGGAAAGGTCTCAGTGAGGTGAGGTCTGCCAAAGGTGAGGGAGGAGGCCATGTGGATGCCTGGGGGAAATGTTCCAGGCACAGAGGACAGCTAGGTCAACAAGGCCTGAGTGGGAACTTGCTGAGAGGGTTCAAGAAACCAGCAAGGAGAACAGTGGGCTGGAGCCCAGGGCAGAGGAAGACAGCAAAAAGTGAAGTCAGAGAAAAATCACAGGCCCCGTCCCCAGTCTCTCACAATGCCAGGCAGTTGCCCTGTCTGCTTCCATTCTCCCCCTTCTAGAACAGCCCGTGAGATCCGGTTAAAGCCTAAGTCAGTCCTGACACTCCTCTGCTCAAAATCTTCCAATGCCTCCCCACTTTATGCAGAGGAAAAGCCAGAGTCCGTACAGTATGCCAATAGGAATGATCTGGGAGACAGGAAGTTGTTGACGGGGTGGGGAGAGCTTTGCTGGAGTGACATCTCTAAGCAAGCATCCTGACCTTTTAACTGCCCCAGAGAAGCCCCAGCATCTCATTTCATCATGAAAAATGTTCCTCTGACACTAATCCTGGTCGGGAAGGTTCCTGTGGTCTCTGAGAAAAAGAAATCAAAGTCTAAATTACACGGAAAGCTATTTTGTGGAAATTTGGTAACATATCACTCACTGGTTATTTTTACACATGCAAACTTTTTTTTTCCACTCTGCTAAGTGATTCATCTTGATAATTAGCTGTATTTCCTTCCTGGCCATACTAGTACAATAGTATCTTTTGCAATAAAATGAAAGGATTGTTATTAAGGTACTCTTAATAAGATAATTTCAGAGGCAGGTATATACATTTAAAAATTTATATATAGAACTATGGATCATTTTAATAAAAGATCCTGTCATGCCTGCCTTGTCAGGGAGAAGAACAGTCCCATGACTGGGAAAGGAGGCAGGAAAAGTCAGCAAAGGAAATGTCACATCCTGTGGAACAAAGCTGAGAGAGCCGCTAAGTCAGTAAGGAATCAGCACACTATACGTTCCTGTGCATATCTGGCAGGATGCCCCCCAAGTCACTGTAAAGTTCCAGATAGTTTTAAACTTACGAAGTTTATGATATCCTTGCCTGGATTCTTTTACAGAAGGAGAAATAATGTCCAATCTCCACCTAATTTACATAATCTGAATTTAAAGAAATCCCAAAATAGACCTTTTATTTCCTAGAAAGCCGCCTATTTTCTGGTTCCCCCCTCTGCCGATGCTAGTTGTGAGCTCGCCTGGGACTGGCCCCTGGAATAAGATGCCCCACGATGGTTTTAGCTTGGACAGTTTCATGCAAACCTATCCACCGATGACACTTTTGAGGTCTCAGTAGGAAATGTCAAGTGTAAATAAAACACTTGTGAGTGGCAAGTGATGATGGTGTCAAGATTCAAGGCTGAACTCCAAACAGCGAGTGAATTACCCAGTCCTCTGAATTGAACTGGTAAGTTGCGATTTCATTTTTTTTTGAAATTCCACCTATGATCTTAAAAAAAAAAGAGAGAGTGACATACAGAAGTGTAACTTTGGACCAGGCCTTTGATTAGGGCTTATTTCTGTTCCATTGACTACAGTAGTTTACCTTAGGACACCAAATGAGCAATCAAAGGATTGTGACACTTGAATCTAACTATAAGTCCTCTCTCTTTTCCTCAAATGGGAAATTATCTTCATAAGTTAAGTCAAATAATACTTCTCCCTGAAACGCCCCGGTATTTAATGTAAGAAGGTGCTTTCTTTTTCTTGCGTGGACAGAAAGAGCCCCTGCGGAGATGGAATCTACAGGTTCGCTGCTGCCACCATGTGGACAAACGGAGGATCATTGGCCCACGTTGGTTCACTCTTAAGTCGCACAATAGCAAAGTGATTCTTGTGTAGTAAGTGGATGGTGTTTTTCCTGCTTTCCTTCTCATTTTTAGTTTTTTTCTGCTTCCCACTGTAAAAGAGGTTTTCTAAGATGCGGGCTTCATGAAAACTGTTTTTTTATTTGCTATGCTTCCAGGACCTAATTTAGGACTGTAGTCACAAGTCCTAAGTTTGTTGCCATCTCTTACAGTGGTACACTTCATAGGATGTGACTGGATTTGCAGTGACACAGCCCAGCCACACTGTGACAGGCAGCACAATGAATGGCGGAAATCTAGCTGGGTCAAGGGTTCTAGGGGAACAAAATTTTATATCAACGCCACACTGACTTTTACATGTTACGTGCTAACATTTTCGAATCATTTGCACCATCCATTATTTCATCTTATCTTCCTATCACAGAAAGCAGTGGAAGTGAAATGGTAAAATTCTATTTTCACCGTGAGGGAAAACTCCAGCACTAGTTAGTAGTGAGAAGAGACTGGAAACCAAGTCTCCTGACTCCTGGCCCAGCCCTTCTGGCACATGTTGAAGAACTGGGGCAATTTATCAGTCAAACGTCCAAAGACCACTGGGTAGTGTTCAATTTAGCCGCAGCAGAAACAGATTCCAAGCAGCACTCCCAAGGGAGAATCTGGGGGGCCAGACCACAGCAGTGGTTCTCAAACGTGAGCATCCCTTCAGTCACCTGGAGGGCTTGCCCACACAGATCCCTGGACCCCGTGCCTAGAAGTTTTGATTCATCAGGTCTGGGACAGGGCCCCAGAATGTGCATTTTCTAACAAATTCCTAGGTGATGCTGATGCTGATGCTGATGTTCCTGGCATGCAGTCATACCTGGAAACCCACTGGGGTAGAAGGTAAAGGCACACAGAACATATGTTCTGATTCCTATATTTCCCTCATGTCAAAGACATGATTCAGAACCTTTGTTTCCTGAGTGCCTCCTCAACAGGGCTGATAGAATTGGGGCAGATTTCAAAGTGTTTCCACCATATTTAATGAAAATAAGTGGCAAAGTATTTATCACTCAAACTAAGGGGGAAAACTTCCCCCAAACAATCTGGGTCCATGTCAATTAAAGGATTCAGTGCTTGTCCTTAGCCTTAACAGAAACATCCTTGTAGAACCAGGTTATTGCTGGTTTTCATTTGTTTAAAGTTCCTGATTTTTTAAAGTTTATTTATTTTGAGAGAGAGACAGAGAGAAAGAGAGCATGCACACAAGTGGGGGAGGGGAATTGAAAGAGAGAGAGAGAGAGAGAGAGAGAGAGAGAGAGAGAGGGAGAGAATCTCAAGCAGGCTCTGAGCTGTCAGCGCAGAGCCCGATGCAGGGCTCAAACTCATGGACCATGAGATCATGACCTGAGCCAAAGTTGGACACTTAACCGACTGAGCCACCCAGGTGGCACCCTAAAGCTCCTGACTTTAAAAGACTAAAACCCAGACAATAGATAAATATTTTGTTATATAAATAGTTAATACATTTATACATTTAAATTATACACTTATAAATAAATAGGTAACCTGAAAAATCTCCTATATTCTGCAAAAACGTATCAGTTTCCGTCTCAAAAACATAGCAGAAATCCTTAGGGGTCAAAATTGAACCACTGACGATATAAGTCTCAAACTGGGTCCGGAGACTTTGTGGTCTGAGACTAATAACAAAGGAAAGAGCACACCCTAAGGTCAGGAACACGACAGGGATGTCCACTCTCGCCACTGTTATTCAACATAGTATTGGAAGTCTTAGCCTCAGCAATCAGACAACACAAAGAAATAAAAGCCATTCCAAATAGGCCAGGAGGAGGTCAAACTTTCACTCCTCACAGATGATATGATACTCTATATGGAAAACCCAAAAGATTCCACCAAAAAACTGCTAGAACTGATCCATAAATTCTGCAAAGTCACAGGATATAAAAATCAATGCACAGAAATTGGTTGCATTTCTATGCAGCAATAATGAAGCAGCTGAAAGAGAAATCAAGGAATTGATCCCATTTACAACTACACCAAAACCCATAAAATACCTAGGAATAAACCTAACCACAGAAGTGAAAAATGTATACACTGAAAACTATAGAAAGCTTATGAAAGAAATTGAAGAAGATGCACAAAAAAGGAAAAATATTCCATGTTCATACATTGTAAGAACAAATATTGTTAAAAGGTTGATACTACCCAAAGTGGTCTACATATTCAATGCAGTCCCTATCAAAATAACACCAGCATTCTTCACAGAGCTCGAATGAACAATCTTAAAATTTGTATGGAACCAGAAAAGACCCTGAATAGCCAAAGCAATCTTGAAAAAGAAAACCAAAGCTGGAGGCATCACAATCCCGGACTTCAGGACGTATTACAAAGCTGTAATCATCAAGACAGTATGTCCTGGAACAAAAACAGACACTTATATCAATGGAATAGAATAGAGAACCAGAAATGGGCCCATAAACATATGGCCAACTAACCTCTGACAAAGCAGGAAAGAATGTCCAATGGAATAAAGACAGTCTCTTCAGCAAGTGGTGCTGGGAAAACTGGACAGCGACATGCAGAAAAATGAACCTGGACTGCTTTGTTACACTAGACACAAAAATAAATTCAAAATGGATGAAAGACCTAAATGTAAGACAGGAAGCCATCAAAATCCTCGAGGAGAAAGCAGGTAAAAACATCTCTGATTTTAGCCACAGCAACTTATTACTCAACATGTCTCTGGAAGCAAGGGAAACAAAAGCAAAAATGAAAGGGTTTGTACCCAAAATCTATAAAGAACTTATCAAACTCAACACCCCAAAACCAAATAATCCAGTGAAGAAATGGGCAAAAGACATGAATAGACACTTCTCCAAAGAAGACATCCAGATGGCTAACAAACACATGAAAAAATGCTCAACATCACTCATCATCAGGGGAATACAAATCAAAACCACAATGAGATACCACCTCATACTTGTCAGAATGACTAAAATTAACAACTCAGGCAACAACAGAGGTTGGCGAGGATGTGGAGAAACTCGAACCCTCTTACACTGCTGGTGGGAACGCAAACTGGTCCAGCCACTCCGGAAAACAGTATGGAGGTTCCTCAAAAAACTAAAAATAGAACTACCCTACGACCCAGCAATTGCACTACTAGGCATTGATCCACGGGATACAGGTGTGCTGTTTCGAAGGGACACATGCACCCCCATGTTTCTAGCAGCACTATCCACAATAGCCAAAGTATTGGAAAGAGCCCAAGTGTCCACTGATGGATGAATGGATAAAGAAGATGTGGTTTATATATACAAAGGAGTATTACTCGGCAATCAAAAAGAATGAAATCTTGCTATTTGCAACTACATGGATGGAACTAGAGCATATTACGCTAAGTAAAATTAGTCAGAGAGAGACAAATATCATATGACTTCACTCACATGTGGAATTTAAGAGACAAAACAGATGAACATAAGGGAAGGGAAGCAAAAATAATATAAAAACAGGGAGGGGGACAAAACATAAGAGACTCTATAAATACAGAGAACAAGCTGAGGGTTGCTGGAGGGTTGTGGCTGGGGGGATGGGCTAAATGGGCAAGAGGCATTAAGGAGGACACTTATTGGGATGAACACTGGGTGTTATATGGAGGGAATGAATCACTGGATTCTACTCCTGAAATCATTGTTGCACTATATGCTAACTAGGATATAAATTAAAATAATAAATAAGTAAATAGATGAATGAATGAATGAATGAATGAATGCGTAAATAAATAAATAAATAAATAAGCACAGAGAAGGCTTCTTCCACTGCCAGTCAGTCTTCAGAGAAAAGAATGATGGGGTCACTTGCCGCCACTTTGCTTTTCTGGAATATTTATAGCTTCCGTTTAGGCTTTACCTTCTTCACCCTCTAAGAATGAATCATCAATTTCCCCAAAATGGGTCTTAGTGAATGTCAGCAAAGAATTATTTTTCAAAGTCTTTGGGAAATTTTTCCTTCATTTCTTTGTTGGACTACCTTCAACTAGAGGAACCACCTTCAGAAGAACCATCAGAAGAACCACCTTCTAGATAATGAGGACCTGAAGGCTGGACATCCAGCAGTAATACAACCAGTGCAAGGAAAATATGATGTCCCAAAACCTCAGGTCAAATTTTTCAGGGAAGATGTGCTCAGAAATGAGGGCAATGTGATTAACTCTTTGTGATTAAAAAAAATTTTTTTTAGTGTTTATTTATTTTTGATAGAGAGGGAGAGAGAGAGCATGAGCAGAGGAGGGGCAGAGAGAGAGAGGGAGACAGAATCCGAAGCAGGCTCTGAAGCAGATGTGGGGCTCGAACCCATGAACTGCAAGATCATGACCTGAGCAGAAGTTGGATGCTTAACTGACTGAGCACTGAGGTGCCCCAAGACTCTTTGTGATTATTAAGTGTATGGACACAACATGTCTAAGGGTGGAGTGGGTGAAACATCACTGTAAGTCCATCACCCCTGTGCTCTTACCTACCAGTGTTCAGGAGTGAAAATCCAAATCACAGAACCACGACGATGGTGGAAATGCCCTGGATGCAGACAGTGAAGAACAATGGAATGGGCACCACAGCCAGGGAACCACACTCCCCAAGGCAAAAGAACAACCCTTAATAAAATGATCTGGAGGGGTGCTTCGGTGGCTCAGTCAATTAAGCAGCCGACTCTCGATTTCGGCTCAGGTTGTGATCTTACGGTTGGTGACTTCGAGCCCTGTGTTGGGCTCTGTACTGACACTGCAGAGTATTGCTTGGGATTCTCTCTCTCTGTCTCTCTCTGTCCCTCCCCTGCTTGTGCGCGCGCTCTCTCTCTCTCTCTCTCTCTCAAAATAAATATATAAACTTTAAAAAATCTGGAAACACTGAAAATAAATAACAGTAGGAAGTATGAAACAAACAACAAACAAAGCTAAAGTAAGACATAGCACTAAAGAAAACATGCTGAAGTCTACTTTTTCCTAAGGAGAAACCAGAAGTTATTACATCGCG